GCCAACTTTTAATCCGGCGGTGCAAGGAGATCATATTCAGGTGCCAAGAAAAGGATCCATCACTTCTTGGGAATTTGACAAACAGATAGATTAGAAACATCAAATCAGGTCAAAGTAATAATAGAGCCATCGACAGTTCTTTGAGATTTCATCATTGCAACAGGTTTTGCCATAACACATCTCGTTATCTACTTTACGTATATCTGCATTTTTATCTTATTGTCTATTTCTTCTTATTTCAATGTTTAAAGAATTGTCTTTTGTTTCTCTTTTGTCACACTTCAATCTTGATCTTCATCTTTTCTAAAAAACCCTTTTTTCAATAAGGCTTATGTCCCAGTGATCTATTGCAGGGACAAGGGCTGTCACATAAGAACAAAAAGACAAACAAAATTAAGGTCAAACGTTTTCGATAAACTTGGCGTCTCCTTGCCAGTGGCGTAGCTTGACCGGCCAGATAGGCCGTCAAAATTAAATTTCATTGATGATAATAACTGATAAAGGGAAATTTAGGTTCTTTTTTATCAAACAATTTGATGATTTTACCGAGGAACTTATTGAAGAATTAGGGGTGCAATTACAAGCCATAATTTTATCATGCCACCCATTAATCGGTTACCCTGATTAATTACATAAATTGTAAATTCATATGAAACACAAAATGGAAAATTTTACTTCCTAATTGGGCTTTTTACGTATCCAACGGCCATAAAACGCATTATCTTATTTAATCATACTAATCCTTTATTGCCTGTTACTTATCAAATTCTAGAAAAACGGTAAATAATTATAGAGAAACTTCCTTTGGTAATCTCTACCAGTCTTTATGTTTTATTCTTAAAATAGTTATTATAAAAACAAGGTTTTAGTATTCTTAGTTAAATCTGAAGGATAAAAACAGAAAAGAGCAAGCAGCAACGCAGCCAAAGGCAAAGAGGTTCGTCTGCAAACTAAATTAAATTATATTCTACTATAATATACTGTGCTAAACTATACTATACTATACTATACTATACTATACTATACTATACTATACTATACTATACTATACTATACTATACTATACTATACTATACTATACTATACTATACTATACTATACTATACTAAACTAAACTATATCATATTATACTATATTATATTACGTTATATTAAATTATATTATAAGTTATGATATTTAGTATTTTATTATATTTTCCAGCTTGTATTCTTTGCATTAATTGCATCGCTTCATATATAAGTAATGGAATTTTTGACTAAGGATCAACATTAAAAGATTCTTTGTGATTTTTTACTTTTTTCGGAATTCTTTTTCATTTTTTATCAAGTATAAAATCACCTTTAACACACGGATAAACCACAAGCCATGTTATAAAAAGATCTAGCTACAATAAACGAGAAAAATGAAAACGAAACTAACTGTGAACTAACTATAAGTCTGCCGTTTAAAAAATACAAATGTAAACTATCAGAGACATGATACGTACGTAAAAAATTGAGACGAGAAAAGGCTAAAAGTTGTGACGACCCTACTTTTACAGGGTTAATTTTTGCACGAGCTGTTCCCTTTTCAAAAACATTTTGTTTTGTTAACTATGATTTTATTTGACTGACAGCTAAAATATTCTTTGTAAATTTACATTTACAGTGAACTTCATCAATTAATAATTAATAAATAAGCAAATTTTCAGATTTCGAATATAACCTTGTTGATATGAACACCGCAAATTATTGTTGACGTAGAAACTCATCAATGTGAAGCAAGGAGAGCCTTTTTGTTGAAGTGTTCAACATATGGTAGGGGATGACGTCAGAGGCCATGTGAGTTCAAAGAGATAGAAAAAGATAAGCACGATTTTATTTCTAATTCATGTGTAAACAGTAGTTTCTAATAGTTCACACGTTACCTCTAATTGCTTGTGCAAATAAGATAAGCTAAGATTTGTCAACAGGCTCCACGACGTCATACCAGTTGACAAATTTTAAAAAATCAAGTTTAAAAATAAGATTTACCAGATAAATGATAGATTTAAGCATGCCTGTAGTAAAAGGGTTTTTTTCTGAAACGCATGTTAATTTATATTTTTCGTTATTTGAATTGTTGATGAAGTGCTATTTCTTGGTTTCTTGCCTTGCAAAATCTTTCATTGATAATTTGGGCATTGATACAAGTAACAAAGTTGAGAAATAATTCTTGCTGCAATTTGTTTAAGTTGATTAAAACGTGTGCGTGATGCTGAATAACTGGATAAGCAAGAAGGCAACTTATCTTAAAGGCGACGTCTACAAAAGCAGTCAAATATTTGCAAAACCAAACACATGGAAAAGTCGACGATACAAGAAAAATCCATCTCATTCACGCAATTCTTATGGAATCACGGTCTAACTGACCTTTCCTTGCCACGTGATCCGAAACCCTTTGCCCCCTCCCACTGCATAATTGCGTCTCAAGAGAACGGCAAGATTCTGAAAAAGACCCATACCGAGTTTTCTTGGTGTATTATTTCAAATTGTTACCCAATCAGCCAGGCTCTATTCATTTACTATTTAAGTCAGAATTTATTGTAATTGCTACTTCGAGGAAACTCCTGATGGCTGCATTAAGCATGAAACTAGAAGTTAAACCTTAAAACCGCAATTGCGTAATTATTCCAGTTGTCTGGCTTGAAATCATATACCATAGATGAATAATGAAGAGAGGTGGACCAAGATTAGAGTCTTGGGGAACAGAAAATCGTTTTTTGGCATTAATCGTTAGCACAGCAGAGTTGAATTTCATTTCAAAATATTCTAACAAATAGAGTCGTAGATGTAAGAAATTCTAAACTTTCCAATCGTGACATAGCGGTATTGCAAGCTTTTAGAGATTTCGGCTGTAGATTCCAGTTTCCTGCGACTGGCATTATGTTTTAGAGGTGGAATCTTTGTATTTGAAAGGGAAATAAAAATAAAAACTCGAGTTCACTATAGTTCGAGAACCTTCCTGAAACAACGATCTCTTTCTTTCTGAAAGTCAGTGACTGAGCTTCAGTGCTTCCTATCAACATTTCTGCAGATAAATTCAACATTAGGTAAAACTGTCCTTGCTTCGAAAATAAATAATTTCAAAAAGACATTCCATTAACTTTTTTGAATTTCAAAATAAGATTTCAGTTGCGATACGTAGCTTCTTAATGTTTTATTGAAAGAGAAACGCGCGGGCATCGATAAATGGTTTACCTACTTGTCAAGCCTAGGAATTTTTGTTTTTGGTTATTTTTTTGTTCAAAGCAAAAAGATGTAATGTGTATTACTTCTACGCTTATTATCTTCGCTTATTCTGGCTACGTAGGACGCACAACCCAGAGATTGGGGGATAGGATAAAACAGCATGTTCCTTCTAACATAAGAAACAAAACTGTCCCTCAAAGAGAACAGCCTCCTCGATCTTGTACGTCTAGAAACACTGTTAAAACAAGTGATTCTGCCATCGGTCAACATCTTTTAGACAACCCAGATTGTGCAAAACTCTATAATGACGACATGTTTCGGATAATTGGCAGAGCCCGGTCGTCTTTCCACCTAGCAGTTTTGGAATCGATCTACATACAAACGTAAAAGCCGCCATTGTGTTGGCAGAAGGAGTTTGTTTTCTCTTTTGGACTCCAGTGGTAATTTTTGTTTAGGCACGCGGCACTGATTGGTCAACTATACCGGTCTTGTGCTTGCGTTTTTCTGATTGGTCTATTTCGATCCACAACTGGGTATATATTTTTCATCGTGTTCTTTCGGACCCTTATTCTGACGTTTTATGCTCTGAGGAGAGTCAGACGAAAAAGCTTTTAGTTAATATGTTGTGAAATGTTTGCTTTTTTCAAAGACATCTTATTATCTTCATAACACAGTATTCACAAAAAAGCTCTTCGAACAAGGTATTAAACAGACAAGCTTGGCTCTACGGCTGCTACAATCCGTTTACGCCAGAGAAACAGATCCCACAATCAACCACCATCAAAATCATACCTATTTACAGCTGAAGGTATACAACAACAACAACAACTTATTATGACTAACTATTTAAAAAGAATACACTGTACAAAATGTGCCAATAAAGCACGTAAATATATTTCCAGCCCAAAAACATTTTCAGCTTTCCGAATGTCATTTTTCAAATTCTTGTACAGACGTCAGTTGCTACTCATCCAAGGACAGTCTATAATGAGCCTCTCTGCAGGAATTTTTTTTTCGTTCAAAGGGTAAAGGGAACATGAATCCTAGTAAAGAATCCTCCATATATACTCTGGATAACTATAAGATTCATTTGTAGGTGTTGTGTCTCTGCCAAACAGTTTTCCAATAGCGGAATCATATATAGGATATGTGTGTCCCGGCTGGGGGTACAAACCATCAACTCAAAGAAATAATTTCTTGCATAAAAATGGATCCCAAAAAATATGTTCTCGCTCTGCACAAGACAGTTTGAATTTTCTCTATTTTCAAATCTTTTCTTATCTTCGAAATCCAAAAAAGTAATTTTAATTTTGATTGACCTGCAAAATAACTTTCAATTTCTACCCCTAAAAAAGTAACCCGAGCATCTCTATTTTAAAAATGAACGAGCGCCAGCCGCCCCTTCCGCCCCCTCCCCCAGAGTCCCACTAAAACCGGCAAATGGCGACATCTCCTCAAAATCCTGACTTCTAAGAAAACCTCATCTGTATAAACCATTGGAAAGGCATCCATGAGAAATGACTGATTCGTCACACATGGTCCTTTCAAAAAACCAAGACAAGATTAATAGGACTGATGTCGCCACATCTTCTTTATCGTCAAAGAACATATCAATCCCAGAGATAAGATAAAGTCTAATGGAATCTGGAAATTTGACAAAGCGCATGTCAAAGCATTTAGAAACCATTTTTATATCAGAAATAAACCAAACAACACACATGATTGATTCGCGGTCTGGTGTCTTCAATTTAATTGAGTTGTGAAGGTTGGAGAAAGAAAATAGCAAAGAAATAGAAATTTATATTGACTCTCTTCAAATTTACTCCTTTTAGACCTTATTGAATGCGGCAATGTCCATTGATTGAATAAGATCTTCCTTTTCTGTGATTCTTTCTTCAAGCATGTCTGTGCTTATCTATAGAAAAAATATCCTTGAAGTAATGAACAGTTCCAAAATACCTTATGCTACTCAAGGGCGATTCAAGCGAAAATATTCCTCAGCCCAACTATTGTTGACTAACGCCCTGGAGAATCTTTTACAACGAAAAATAAAACCAGGAAGAGAATAGCAGCGATCAGTATCTCCTATAACATGCAATTAGACCAAAGGTCAACATCCACTCGAGGATCCCGAGTGTGCCTGTACGTATAGCTATGACAATTTGAAATCATAAGGCAAGCATACGTATAGCTATGACAATTTGAAATCATAAGGCAAGCATGGTGATTTTTTTACTCAAAACAAAGGATCCTGACTTGTCTAGACAGAAAGGGACCGTTTTCTCTCTTGAACTCTTCTACCTTAATGTAGACAAATGCTAAATATGTAACTAAATTTCATCATGTATATGAACTCTTCAACTGGGTGAGATGCCAGCGGTCGTCGATTGGTCAAAAAGGAACCAATAAAATCCTCCGTTCTTCCTCTCACGTCACTTTGATCCGTATTTGGATACAATTTTTCAGCCTACCTTTAGTCATTATCCGATGCTTATACTCTGAGGAATGTCAGACAAAATGTATTCAATATAAAGCATTACAAAGGCTCTACTAAAAGCTACAGCCCTAACAAACACAGCAGTCATTTTAAAACAAGCATCTTGCGTTATGTGTCAAACAAAAACAAACTAATATATTATAAAAATATATACCTTGTCGTCTTCAATAACAGCCGATATTTGCAATTTTTTAATTCCATAACCAACGGGGACAAGTTTTGCTGCAGATAAAAAGAGATGCTTATGCTAGACATATAAACTTCGCGGGTTTAATTTTAACAGAATAACTTAGAAGCTAGCCTAATGAACTTTGGGTATAACTTAATTATTCCTGACAAAATTATGCAGTGGTGTGTCTTTCATATTGAATTTCAAATTCTACTACGCTGACTGTTATTTCCTTAAACCCTAGCAATGTTTTAAACTTTCTGTTAATCTCTGTAAAAAGCGAGATTTCATTTCCACTACTGTTACGGTGAAGATTGCAAAAACATTGCAAAAACAACAATGATGTTTTCAAGATTTTGAATTTCACAGTCTTTAGCGAGCATTCACTTTATTTTGTCGTTTGTGAGACTAAACTGGTGCTTATTTTAATGCTTGATGTTACAGGTTCCAAGCCGAGGGGCGATACACTCTTACAAATAGCGTACGAGATTTTGCCTAAAACAAAAGGATTTCTGGGGATTTTCAGATAAAACAATAGGATTTTCACAAAAGGTGTACGAGATTTTCTTAGAGTGATTTGCCCCTCGTTCCAGGCAATTTTTCGCAAGAGTCACAAAACAAAAGAATGATCGAATAAAGCAACTTTTCACTACGAGAGTTATCTGAAAAAGCGAAACAAACTCCTTAAATCTTCTGCGGAAGTACTAAAACAAGGATCGGCCAATACCTTAGTCATGAACTCGACATGCGTCTTGTATATACGCCTTTTATGTTGGAGCAAAACAACTTCTTTCGAAACATAAACAGAAAACACGAATAAGAAACGCATTTTTCAAAGGTTTTAGTGGCAGAGACTCGCTCGCTCCTTCCTGGGTTGTTTTTACGGATCGCGACCCAGCGGTCATCCGCTTTATAACAACGGTATTCCGACGAAGATATTAAAATTTATTCCTTAAAAGATCAGTCATAAACCACAACAGTTTTTAGGTTTGATCACAACACGATTAATAGATCGACACATAGCCGTTTAAGTTTATAAACAATGTTCTTAGATTTTTTATCTTGCCAAAGCAAAGGCACTCGCGCAATCGAAGTGTTATTTAAAACAGAGAGACACGGTATGCGAGTGGCACGTTTCCGCCGTCCAACCCTTTTCTTTGCCAACCCGTATTCAATTCTTTCGTCGTCTCTTTTGCAAGATTTTCCGCCCTAGAAAGCGCCCGGTCCACCACAAAAGACTGTTTCTTTCCCAATCAGCTGAACGATTTCTCACATAGAGAGGGATGCCTTAAAATAGAGCCAAAACCAGTCCCAAATATCTCAACATTTCGCTAACAAAACCAATGCTATTTTGAGAAATACCAAAAAAACCTTCCAAAACCAGCCAACAAAGCAATGTAAAGTTTCGTGGGGAAAAGGACCCGGAAGTGTTAAGTGAGAGCCAGACACTTCTAGGCAGACAAAAAAAGACTTAATTGACAAGGAGTACTTACAGGAACCCCACACGAGTCCATCTGCTTCGATTGAGCGGACATGTTTTTCTATTTCTGACATATCTGCAAGAAAGAATGGTTGCAATAATGCATAAGAAATTCACACATTTAAACAAAAATCAATAGCCTTTGTCTATATATTTCATTTCCACATCTTATATCAAGTGAAGAAAACTGACGAGATTAAATGAAGGAGAAAAACCAAATTCTTAATGAACAACCAAGATTAAATACTGTTTGAGAACCTTCGTCTTTGTGATATAAGATTAAAAGTTTCTTAAATTGTTTTGCTAATGAGGTTGAGTCATTAAAGTTCGCGAGAAACGCTTGCAGGCAAACCGTGCCGATCAAATTACGTCTGAAGGCACATCTGAAAAAGGAGACTTCTTCAAAGTTCTTATCGTTTAAGAATTGAAATAAAAAATTCAGTTGCAAGTTTCATCATGTTAATATTATTAAATGCTTCTCTTACTTTTAATAAAATCATTCAGGTGTTCGGAAAAAGGTGAATAAGGCCATCAAACCAGCCCAGAAGCACATTCTGTGGCATTAATAAAACTAGTCAAACCTTGAGGATAATGAAATGCGACAAGGTAAAGAGAGGGTGAAATGAATCCGAATTATGAACACGAAAACAGTGTAAACTTCGAAAGCAATGCAGTTTTGACATAATTTCTGAAAAGGCCTAGAGATGATTTATCACAAAATGTGTGCAGTGAGGACAACAAGAAAACTTAGAAGATCATTCAGTCGATTTACGATCAGGCGCACTCAAAGTATAGGAAGCAATGCTTCCCGTGTTGCAGTTGCGGCCCTTCAAGGATATTCATTTGTCAAAAACTTCAAACAAATTTCGTGGATTATCTCAAATTGATCTGGCAATGAACTTCGGTTCAAATTAAGAGAATCTTCAGACGTCCACAAAAGTAAGCTTTACCGCTTTGTAAAAGTGATTTATGTAGCAAAGAGAGAACAATAAATTTTCCTAAAAGCAAGAACAAGTTGTTCATATATGATGTTGTGATTATCTATTCTGTTTGCGTTGCTGCGGCAAGCTATCGGTTGAATCAGTCAGTGAGTGAAAGCTTCCTTGTACAAAAATTAAAAAAACTGTATCACTATCAAGCTATAAAACCGACAGCCATTTCGTTCTTTGCTTGAATAAAATTGAGGACCCTGTCGCGTCAAATGTTTTGCAAGGAATGGCCAGGTTTCCCCTTTTTGTCAAAAGCAAAAGTTTGTTTAAACTCTATAATGCTATTTTTGTTGAAAAAACCATCGTCATTCTAAAGTAATTGTTTGTTAAAGTAGTTCTTTAAAAATTGACTGGTCTTTGAACAATAAAAGAGACTCGTGAAAAAGAAATAAAACAGAATTTTGTATTGCTGCCATTTGTCCCAGAGCAAACGAACCATTGGCTGTCCCAAGTAGAATTCTAGACAGAACATAGTTTGCTTACAGGACTTATTCTTTACATTCTTGTACGATGCGTCAAACATTATTTCATGTCTCTTATTTTAAAAAAAAATTATATCCTACGTATTACATATGAAAAAATCTTGCAGGAACCTCTTACAGAACATTTTATGCTCGCAGGCACAACAATTTTTTGGGGAGGTCTGTTGAGACAACATCGTAGCAACAAGCAATTAAAAGCGGAACGATGATAAAAGGAACTTTGAAATTTATCGCGTAGCATCGTCTTACGGCAACACTTAGCTAGTTAGTTATTTAGTAACTTAGTCGATGAGTTAATTGATCAGTTTTCTAGCTAGTTATTCATTCTTTTTACGTAAAAAGGATTGAGATTGAACTGATTTGGGGGACTCAAACGACTGTCCTAGATATCTTGAGTTTTATTTCCTTGCATAAAATGAAATCCATCAAAAACTGATGCAGATGGAATAACATTGTCTGAAGTCCCATGAAACTCTGCGTGTTGACTTCAACCCATCTCAAAACCCAACATTGATTACCGCGAAAAAGCTCAACTATACCTAGCTTAATTTGTTAAGCTTCAAACAGAAACACTGAAATATTTCGCAAAGCAGGTTGAGCCATTCCCTATTAGCCTAAATTTCAAAGTAACATTGCTTAACATTGTAAATCTTTGTTCAGTGGTTTCTAGACATAATTTTAGGTTGCTTTAAATTAAATTGCAACGATAAGACACTATGCAATGATAATCGATGCTTATTGCAAACAACAAACCTAAGGAGATTTAAAAGAAAGAGTTAAAAATTTTAAAAATGTAAATATATATACATATAAAAAAGGTTTTTTAGATATTGAACTCCTCTTTCACACTTTCAATAATTTATTTTATTTACCTGCCAGGAACTGGTTACAAGAAAAGTGCACACTTTGTTAGTTTCTAATTGGCTCTCCATTGAAAGATACGAGGTTCTTGTCCTTTTGTTCTCTTTGATATCATTTATAATTTCTATCTAAACTTAAAAATCAAAACTGAGCAAAGTTTGTGATAGTTTTACCTGTTTCATCATCCCAGGGTTTAACATCAAGAACCAACACTGACTTTGCGATTACTACTTTTTCTACAAAACAAAAATATTCCGTATATATATTTATTCAGAATTCATACTATACTTGAAAGGTTATTTGCAATTTTTGCCAACAAGATTTGTAATTAACGTATGAAATGTGAAAATTTCAAACTAATTGGGATTTTAAAAATCACACTTACTTGGTTTTGCTGGAGCTGGCTGTTTTGGGGCTTCCTACAGGGAAAAACGAACAACCATGAGAAATAAAAAATTCATAGTACAGTTTTGAAACAAGAAACCAAATTTGAAATACCCATCTTTGATCTGCACAACCTAATTCCCATGGTAACATAGCAGAGCCTTAGCTCATCGTAATTACTTCTAAACAAAATTAATGGAATGAACCATACCAAACCAAATTGTATATGTATCTTATAGACTGAAAAGTAAATTTTAGATAATATTGCCACAGGCATACAATAAATTCCTCAGCAAGTAATAACTTGTCACAAACTGGGCACTTTTTCTCTAGGGTAAGCCGATGATACAACAATCTGCTCCAATGGAGAAGGGCAGTGTTAACCACATCTTTGCAAATATTCGCACCCAGGCCCACAACTTTCTAAGACAAGGATCACAGATAAATCTGTTGAGCAGCAGCCATAGGATTGCATTGTTTTAAAGATAAAAGTTCACATATCATAAGTAAAACTTTGAAAGAAATGCCTTTACCTCCTCCTCATCATCTGATCCAAACAGATCAAAATCATCTTCAGCAGCAGCAGCCGATGCTCCACCTGCAGGACCATATGAATCTAGACTATTCTTAACGCCTCCAAATCTGCAAAAGAACAATTAACAAAACTTTATAATCAATTAGAAAATCATGTTCATAGGCCTAACATTGGTTTGGTATTGTTTAAGTTTCTCTGAATGCCGCAGATGTGTTTTCTTTTTGCTTAACATACATCAAAGTATTCACAATTAGATTCAGAAACATTTTAAAGTTTGGCACCATTGCCATCACAAGGAATATACGTAAACCATTTATGTCTAAAGTGGAATATCATGGTTTAGTTGAAAGGGTGATGTCTTTGGGAAATTAGGAATCAGTGGCATAAAGTGTTGAGAAAGAGATGGAAAAAAGATATTTCTTGTTGATGAATGAAAAATTGAGCTAGAAATATTTGTTCTTCTATGTAATCTTAAATACTTTAATCTTTTGAATTTGGATTGAGTAAGTTTTTATTGTTCTTATGCTTTCTTGGCTTTTGGGTGTTTCCAAAATTGGCTCAACCAAATTGGCAAAACTTCCTTGATACAAATACAAATTAGACACACAGAGAATGTGGCTGGTATATAAGGGCATTTCTCCTGAAATGTCTGAGACAATTCTGGTTACTTGACTGATTAATTCAATCTACCATAAGCAGCTCTTTTGAAGTTAGGATAATTTTCTGCTGAATGTAGAGGCCAAAGTTGCCTCACTTGTTATATCATGTGGCAGGAGCATTTGACATTTTTGAGACATTTTTTGGAAAAGGTTGTCAAGAGAAAGGTGATGATGATAACTCTGGTTTATAGATGCATCTATGATAAATATAATGGTTTTATTAATTGTGCATGCCCATGTGATGCATTTTCTTATTGGTTCAGACAAATGGATAGAATAATAGACTTGAAAAAAGCAAAAATTTAGTAAACTAAAGCCTTTCGTCTTAAAAACATTCAGTAAACTAAAGCAAAAATTTAGTAAACTAAAGCATAAATTTCACACCTAACGAATTTTTATTGCAGAATATATTTCAGTAAAACACAAAATTTCAGCTAAACTTCCAAGGAGGTGGTGAAAGACTTCACAAATATATTGTTAACATGTCACTTGTGATGTTAGCAGATAATCTTGAAGATGGCAATAAACTTGTTTTGGTTTTGGCAAAATGCAAAGATCTTACTGTGACAAAATGGAAGAATAAAAGTTCAAAAAAAAAGAAACTGTTAACCCGAGATGAGAAGAATTCTCCCAGATCTAAAGTAAGCAGCATATTCGGCACAGCAACAGGCAAAATCATTTTTGGATGTCAGTTTAATAGAGTAAATTATAAGGCTGGTTGATTTATAATGTTTACTTGAATGCTAAGCATACAAACAAACAACTGCAAAAGAAAATGATTAGCAAAGAATTCTGGAAACAAAAGTGGCTGTGATTAACAATTACTCACCCAGCCTTTTCTTGATCAGTGTAAGAGGAAACATGTGTGAACCAACGGAGAGCATGGTGATAAGTTGCTTTTGGTGGGCCAGAAAGAGCGGCAAAAACTATCAGATCAGCCTGTGATGGCACATATCTAAAGGTTAAAACAAAGACTATAGAATTCATAGATATGACTTAATCAAAGACTTATTCAATAGACTGAAGTTCAGGTACAGGGCAGTCGTTTGATATCTACAAACTCATATTCACCTCCTTATCTTAAATGGAACCGTATCCTATTGATTTCTTATTGTAAATATTGTTTTTCTTAATGCTGGAAATTTATTACTTGAAATGTCTTTTTTATGTAACTTAGAATGTAATTCAAAACTTTCATGTCATTCGAAAAACAGTCATTACCTTAAATAATATAAATATTGCAATTATTAAGTATATATTATAAACCAAATATGCCTTTGGTACCGTAAAATTTGTAGATAGCACCAAAAAGTGGAAACATGTCATATTAAAATATATTTCGCCCGACACTTAGAGTATAAATGTTGAACAATGTATAAAGGTAAGCAGTAAATTTAAATCAACATGTGGGCAAAAGAGTTTATCGTGTAGATACAAAAAGAGTTCATTTTCTCTCTGGAACTCTTCAACTAGGTGAGAGACTAGCCGCTGTGATTGGTCTAAACAAATAACCAATCAAACAAACTTTTCTTCCTCTCATGCTATTTTCCATCCACACCTGGACTAGCTTTGGAAATCTTTGGCCCAGGGATGACTTGGGGGGATATTAGAGTTTATAGTCTAAAACAATTTGCATTTTCTAAGAAAGGAGAATTGGAGAATCACCCAATTTTTTCAATGTAATCAACTTTGAAAAGCCAAGCTTTCTTGCTCATTCAATGAAAGCTTTCCGTAACTTCATTGAAATCTCTGAAATGTGTGATTAAGTATCAGCCTCTGGAAACTGAGGCCCTGTCCACATGTATTCATTTTGCAGATAGGGCTCACTTCCCCATGCATTTAACAAGTGCACTAGCATATCTGCAACTTTTCAAATACGCTCTCCAGAGTGGAAATTTCTGAATATGCTATGGATCCAATTACATGTGGATGCTCAAATCCAGATATATTTTGATCATATGACATAGCACTGGCTCAAATGAGTCATGGCTCATGCACTGATAGAAATATTCACAAAGGGGCTGTGAAAGCAACAGTGAACCCGAATGTGTGTGGATAGCTGAATTTGATTTGAATGTGCTGCCTATCTGTATAAAAAAGATTGTTGATTCAAAAAAATCTGTATACATACATGCAGACAAGGCTTTTTCTGTTGTGGCCTGCATGATGTAAATTTTCTATCTGGGGCTATGATAATAGAATGGGTGAGCAGCAGAAAGACTTGATGTATAGAGCAACAGTCATGAAATCATTGCAAGACAGCTGACTTTAAGTTGACTTTCAGTTTCAAAAATTGAGTATGAAACTTGAATTCAACATGTTAGGCAAGTATTTTTGGGCATGTAGCATCAAAAACTACTACGAAAAGCAGCAGGCAATGATTTCACATTTCACATCTCTATTGTGTATGGCTTAGTGAATCTAAGCTCTTGCTTGCGGACAAAAACTTCATGGGTATTAGAATTAATGGGCTAATACCTTGGGGCTCAATTACAAGGCACTAAACCAATGTATCATAACCTACCCAAAATTCATTGTCAAGTTACGGCAAAGACTAAATTCCAACTATGAGAGGAGCATTTTCCAAATCAGCGTCAGTATTGTGGGGACTGCAGACCCAGTGCCTTCAAATAATTTCGTAAGACATAGGATTGCCAAACACTATCCAAGACCTTCATATCAAAGAGATGTTTTTGCCCCTCTCCTCATAAATCAAAACATATTAGCCCCACCCCGTCAAATAGTTTTACAACCCTGAGTGCCTTTATGCATTCTTGTGCCTCAGTTTCAGCAGGGTAAAACCAACATTTTTCTACTCCCAGCTGCCCCTTCTTTGGCCCGAGATTTACTTGAAATGCACACTGGATGTCACTTTTTTCAACAACAACTACACAAATAAAATTTAGAATTACGAAATAAAATTTGTACCTAAAACCATTCTTTAAGGTTGCAAATATTACCACAGACTGAAAAATGTCAAGCATCATTTGCAAATTGAAAATAGACATACCACCAAAATCCATTCGCAAAATTGTCTTCATGAAAACTTCCCTGGTTAGATTGTTGGAATGCAGTTTGTTCTTTTTTCATTAGGTCTTTAGTTTAGTTCATAAATGCTACTATGTTGTACATTTGATAAAGAAGGCTCGGAATTATCAGTTTATATCAACTAAGCACTTAGGGTTTGGGCCTAAAAATAAATGTCCGGACAATGACCACGTGCCTGAAAAAATATAAAAAAATATACCCTTCAATGTAGCTTTTATCTTCAAGAAAGGAATTCAAGGTTTGAAGTCCAGCATCAGTTTTTAAATCGCCGAAACCCATTTTTATAGCTGTATGATTAGGATTAAAGTTTCTGTCTGGCCGCTTGCCACGATGGTTGGACTTCTAAGAGAAAAGGACATTTTCTAGAGCGCACGCGCGTTCAAAGATGAAATCCCAAAGCGAGGCAATCCTCGAGGGGTCTAGCCTCGTACTTCCTTTTTTTACTCCTAATTCGTTTTACACAAAATCCCTTAAGCTTAAAAACTCAATGCTAGACAAGAAAGTAAATAATAAAATTGAATCAACACATTACTACTTTTAAAGCTTTAATAAAGTAAAAACATGTATCTTTTTAACAGCTGCCCTACCAGCTGGGTTTGCTTTCAGTTTTCTTTCAACTCACGTGAAATTGTTTTGGCTGCTTTGTAAATCCATTTACCGTAGTGAGCTCAGCGGAAATAATTGAAATCAGAGGTGGTTTTAGAGGGAGCCAAGGAGGGCCACAGTCCCAGGCCCCGCGCTTATGATAGCCAATAGAGGCAACGAACATAGCAAAAAAGGGTCCTGCATGTGTTAACAGCCCTGGGTTGCTCACCGCAGTCCCTAAAACCGCCGTTGATTGGAATATCAGCCCAAGCTTCAAAAACTGAGCAATGAATGTAGGAATGTAGTGGTGTCTGGGCTCATGGGGCGCAGCCCTCCTTGTTGAAACTTTCAAAAAAAATCGGGGGGCTATTGACGACTTTACCACAGATCAGTCATTGACGACTAAGCCTGGAAAATAATAGAGAAAGAAATTACAGTTTTAAGCCCATTGCTAGCTTTATATGCATGAAAATATACAAAAATTTGTCATGAATAGATAGAAAATTTTTGAAAGATCTATTATTGCTGCGTTATAGTGTTATTATTGCGAAACAGGAGTTAATTGCCTAAATTAACAGCTGGCTGCTCTTACTTGACTCTGTCTTGCCTACTTTTAATATTAGATGCACTAATAGATGTACTTTTTATAAGAACAAGAGCTTTTGCCTCGGGTATTCATAGTGTTGATTTGTCCACTTAATAACAGTTTTGCATGACACTGTTTGTAGCACGGCTCATTGGTTGATAAAATCCACACTGCTTTGTTAACACGAGACAAATTGTGTCAATTCTAAATCCAAGCAATGGGCAATAATTATTTAAAAGAAAGCTTACAGATATAGCATAGAATCTTCCTTATCGTTGTTGTAGATATTTCAGACACATTTTCTGGCCATCCTTATAATATCATAGAGCCCCCCCCCCTAATAAACTTTCAAGACTTCATCCCTGATTAAATGCCTGATTTGACAAAATCAAAATTCCATCTTGGGATTGCGTTTTCTCGCAATTCCCCATTGGATATTGCCGGGTCCTGCAAGTGATATTTACCCCAAAGCTCTTCAAGATATAACCTCTTAGCTTTGGGATCATATATAACGAATTACGGATTCTGTTTGGCTGTGGGCAACCTTTCATTATGTTAAGATTTTCCGTGGATGAGAAATTTTTCTATCATCCCTTCGAATTGGTAAATGCTTTGAATGATTCCATCTACACAACAGAAAATCTGTAAAACACCAATTCAAGTATTTTTGGGGTGGTGTGGATGTGGGCTTGTTCATGAGTGCGGTTTTTTGAAGTGGCTTAAGCAAAGCCTTCACCCCTTACTATTTTGGACGGCACCGCTTTCAAAAATTAGGTCTAGCCTTAGCAATAATAGAGCAGGATTTATTTTCAGAGGTTGAAGGGTATTCCATTTTGATTTTGGAAGACTCCCCCAGATCACGTTAGCATGTGGCAGATAGCTTCGACAGGGGCCCGATAAACATGGTCTATATGGGATAGTGAAATAAGATTCCCCATTATTTTAATGATTTATAACTGACACTTTTTTTCACTTACGGAAGAAGTACAGAATCATGTCTCCAGGCATACCTACCATGTTCAAGATAATTTTTGCAGCTAGAGACTATGTGCTGTAATGCTTCTGATTGGAGACAGAAAGAGCAGGCAGATGACTGAGTAATTGACCATTTGCAGAGGTTTTTCCTAGTGGCAAGAGTGTTGTTTAGGTATTTGATGGTCAAGTTGTAAATGTTTTTTTTGTAAGGTAACTTTTGCTGGACACTAGATCAAAGTTGATTAGTTCCCTTAGAAGCAAATTTTAAGATACACGAGATAATAAATCCTTGAGATGTAAGAACATTTTCAATGCGATTATCGTGTTCAACTTGTTTGGTGTTGCGATAAACATTGTATGTTTGTACCAGTGCTAGAATCTTTCCATAAAGAGCGAGTATCTTTGTTTTGGGGACAATTTGGGAATAATAATAATAAAAATAATAAACCACATTTTACTAACTAGCCCCCGTCTGTTGCCCATTATCTGAGCAGAACTGCTTTCATCACTTAAAGAAGATCTAAACCTTTCCTGAGATTCCTCTGATACTATATGCACCTTTCTTTTTTATCAATACTCCATGATCTACGATATTAATGAAGAGACATGGCCTCCAATGATAAGTACAATTTTTGAGCAAAGTTACAGTGAGATATATAACTTTTGAAGCGCAGATTGGTTTGGTGTTAATATTTTGCTAGTAGAGAGAGGATAATTCGCTTGATCCTCTACCTTCTTGAATAGGCCCCATTTATAGGCTGTAGCTTGTTTTAAGCCCAAATCTCGATCAGTTTCTGGTTGCAAATTCCTTAGAGAACATTTTTTGTCAATAATCAATCCCAATAGGGAGCTGGAACTTCAGGGAGCCCCGCTTCAAAGTACCCAATGTTCGGCCCTGGTGAGCAACTGATTGTGAAAATGCTCTCAGGGGATTATAGAACTATGAGATTAGATAATCAACAACTTTGATTATTTTTTAGTAATATACTAAAGGGTGCCGAGCTGCTCTTTTTTTCTGTTCTGTTGTTGCCCAGGAAAATGATTGTGAATCGACGTGGGTTTGAACGAGAAAATACTTGACCAATGTGTCTAAAAAAATACACCCCAACTTGAATGGAATGAGCTCCGAAAAACTAAACTCACATTTCATCAACATTTAAATAAGTTGTGGACAAATGTGCCAGAGTTTTTTGTGATGACGTCTAAATCTAAATGTCATATTTTAATAACCTTCCTTTTTAAAAAGGCACATTTCATTTTTAAGTGATCATAAACTGGTCACGCCTACAAAACTTGTTTTATAATGTATACAGTCCTTTAATAAAGTTAATCATTGAGAATAAAATTATCAAGTTATGATAGTCAATGATGGACCGATAGTAATTTAACAAAAACACAACTGCATGCTTAAACATGTAGGAGCACGATAATAAAAACTTCCACAATAGTGAGAAGAGACATCAGAAAGTTTAAAATCCATTGTTGAAAAGGTTAAGTCAGATAAGAAATTTGGAAAAGCTAGGACGAGCTTTTCTTGCCTTTTCTTTAATCCTTGATCAACAAGTTTCAAATGTAACATAATGTTTGTTTTGATATTGAGCAGGGTCATCAGTCAGTGTTTTATATTTTTTACTTGACAAATTATGGCTATTTTGCACAAAACTTTTCTAAAGAATTATCAAATGCTTACTTTATAAACAAGTTATTTTTGACAATGTATCATAGGATGCCACAAAAGGATTAGAAAATGGTTTCCTCGTTGTCTATACCTCTTTTTAATTCCATCCATCATAACGAAATTATAATTTCCTCAATTAAACCAATCAATCATATATATTAGATCCAAAACTAATCCATTCTTTGCATAATGTCAACAAGCAGGTCTTTAGAAATGGGATAAAGTTTATTTATCAAAGTCCTTCTCACAGCCAAATCTATGTTAACTCTCTTCGTTCACGGTTTCAAGTCTGTTGCATACCTAAAATGTTTTTGCATCTAAACAAATTAGGAACAGCCTCCAAGCTTTGGAAAATTAAATCTGCAACTCAATTAACTACAGAATATACTTTGGTCAAATAATTTATTGCTTTACCCTTTTACCCCGCTCATAAGCGAACCTCATTTAAAGGCGCATGCGCATATATCCGGATGTAGGCGCAGTGCGCTTATAAGTGGAACTTCATCTTACGGTTCTTGCGAGAAAGATGGAGAACACAAAACAACAGCAATATGGCCATCTATTTTCTTAATGACCACTTTTACATGCTTCCTCGTTTCTTTGTCTTGCACTATCAATATCTTTAAATAGTCCTTTGGGTATAAACTGACATGATCACCAAGACAACTTTGATGAAGAACAGCTTAATGAAGAACTAATGATCACTGATAATAACTTAGATGCTGAGGAAGCTGACATTGAATAACTGTTAAAATAATATATTATTGAAATTCTATTGTATTATATTATAATTCTATTGTTGAAACATTACTCGTGTAATTTTATTGTTAAATATTTTCATTTTTTATTGATTCACACGTCTGCATCTGAATCGCATTTTCCTACCCTGAAAAGTGACAAAATCATTAATTTCCGTTTATAAGCGCATGCGCATTTAAGCGGGGTAATAGTTTAACCTTGTTGTTAGAGATTATGTTGGGAAAGAACCAAAAGAAAGAATCTTTTTAAAGAATCAGAAAACATTTGCTTACAAATCAATGTTTAGTAGCTATTCATTTTTAGGGAAACATTTCAAAGCAAATTCCTACAACTTGGCAAACAAAGACAGAGGTAGAAACTGGGAACATTGGAGCACCAGCCCCCACTTTTCAAAACCAAAGGCTAAGTGTTTGTTTGTAGGGCACGGAGGTGCCTCTTTTGCATTAAGGTGTCTCACTTTGAAAACGCTTTCTAAAAAGTCCATGAAGAGAATCCATTCCAATCTTAAATTTCGTAGACGAGGAGAGTGATTCCAAAAGTCTTCAATAAAAAGAAGACATTTTAACACGATCATGTATTACTAGAAGCGTCTTCAATTCTAAAAAAATTAGATAGAATACGACTCTGGGTTGGGGGGGTTGAGGTGGGGTTGAGGGGGGGGGGGTTGAGGGGTGGTGAATGGGTTCTGGGAAAATTTTTTCAGTGATTTTTTGACCGTCGTTTTTCTTATTTTTGAAAACAGAGTATGAACTAAAATGAAAATAAACTCTTTATATA